GCACACCTCGGGTACAGGTGTCAGGTAGGCACACCTCGGGTACAGGTGTCAGGTAGGCACACCTCGGGTACAGGTGTCGGGTACGCACACCTCAGGTACAGGTGTCAGGTACGCACACCTCAGGTACAGGTGTCAGGTATGCACACGTCGGGTAAAGGGGTCAGGTACGCACACCTCAGGTACAAGGGTCAGGTAGGCACACCTCGGGTACAGGTGTCAGGTAGGCACACGTCGAGTAAAGGGTTCAGGTACGCACACCTTGGGTACAGGGGTCAGGTAGGCACACCTCGGGTACAGGAGTCAGGTACGCACACCACGGGTACAGGGGTCAGGTATGCACATGTCGGGTAAAGGGGTCAGGTATGCACATTTCGGGTACAGGTGTCAGGTACGCACACCTCGGGTACAGGAGTCAGGTACGCACAGGTCGGGTAAAGGGTTCAGGTATGCACACCTCAGGTACAAGGGTCAGGTACGCACACCTCGGGTACAGGGGTCAGGTATGCACATTTCGGGTACAGGTGTCAGGTACGCACACCTCAGGTACAGGAGTCAGGTACGCACACCTCGGGTACAGGAGTCGGGTACGCACACCTCGGGTACAGGGGTCAGGTACGCACACCTCGGGTATAGGGGTCAGGTATGCACACGTCGGGTAAGGGGTCAGGTACGCACACCTCAGGTACAAGGGTCAGGTACACACACCTCGGGTACAGGGGTCAGGTACGCATACCTCGGGTACAGGGGTCAGGTACGCACACCTCGGGTACAGGGGTCAGGTAGGCACACCTCGGGTACAGGGGTCAGGTACGCACAGTGTTTTGACCTTGTGAGGTCAGTGTCGCGCACCTTGTAGAGTGACAAGTGATATGTAACTGCCTGCCTTCAGACTTTCATTCGCTCTCATTCATTACATTGCAACGCTTGGATGAGGGGAAGATTTTGTTTTATAAGTCTCAGAACCTACTAAAATGTCAGTCAATACATTGATACATTACTCAATAATTTATAAATACCTAATCATTGATTCATTGATTTATCATTTATTCCTCATTGTCTTTCAGCCATCTGTTCATCCTTTTCACTCATACTGATGCCAGTGTTCTTTCATTCCTTCTCTCTCGCTTTACCTCCCACCCCCTGAGGCCTTGACAACACAACAAGATGACCACCGCCGACATAGATCACTTAAGGACACAAGTACGATGGATGTCTGTATTTTGTCTGTCTTTCAGTCCGGCTGCAACAGCGCATGTTTGTGAATAATAAATGCTTGCCTGCTTGCTTTGCCTACATTGAATACTTTAGTTCTGTTTTAAGTGTGAATTTCTATGTGTAATACACTGATGTAAGGGTAAATTTTTACATGTTATAAGTAACTGGGGATTCAAACCCTTTTTAGCTTTGAGTATCCCTGTATGATTAAACCTTAATAATTCCAAGTCCTCTGATTGATAAAGACATTTTCAACTCCTCAAATTACCTAGAAGGCTGATTTTTATTAATGTTTCTTGAATGACTAAGTGTTCTTATTTTGTGGACCAATTCACAGTCAAAGAGACTATCTGTCCTAGCTGATTTTCTGAAACATTTTCAGTTTATTCTCTGAACATCCACCAGGCCAATGATAACCAATATTCATAGCTCTGATTGTCCCAAACCAAATGATGTTATTAAAAATCAAAATGAATAGTTTGTCCTGTGACAGTATTAGCTCACCGAAGGACCAAGGTGAGCTTATGCCATACCGTGGCGTCCGTCGTTCGTACGTCGTCCGTACGTCAACAATTTCTTTCAACAACTTCTTCTTCTTAACCACTGATTGGAATTTAACTAAATTTGACTGGAGGCATCCCTAGGTGGTAGGGGATTCAAAATTGTACAAGTAGTGGGGATAACCCCCCAGGGGGCTGAGGGGCAGGGCCAAAAGGAGGCAATTTTGCTATATTGCTACAAACAACTTTTTCTGTAGAAATATGGACTGGATATCAATCATATTTGATCAAAAGCATTCATGGGAGGCAGGGATTCAAAATTGTACAAATGGTGTGGCTGACCCCCTAGGGGGCTGAGGGGCTGGGCCAAAAAGGGGCAATTTGGCTATATTGCTTTAAGCGGCTTCTCCTCTGGAACTAAGGGATGGATATCAACCATATTTGCCTGGAAGCATCCCTAGGTGGTGGAGATTTAAAATTGTACAAATGATGTGGCTGACCCCCCGGGGGGCTGAGGGGCGGGGCCAAAAAGGGTTATTTGGCTATATTGCTTTAAGCGAATTCTTCTCTAGAACTAAGTGATGGATATCAACCATATTTGACTGGAAGCATCCCCAGATGGTGGAGATTCAAAATTGTACAAATGGTGGGGCTGACCCCTAGAAGGCTGGGGGTGGGGCCAAAAGGGGGTAATTTGGCTTTATTGCCATAAACGACTTCTTCTGTAGAACTATGCCATGGATATCGATCATATTTGGTCGGAAGCATTTATGGGAGGCAGGGATTCAAAATTATACAAATCGTGGGGCTGACCCCCCAGGCTAAGCGGTGGTGCCAAAAAAGGTTTATTACTTAGAAGTGGTTGAGATCCCCACCGTATAACCATATATACATGCAATTACTGAGTATAAAGAGAAGAATGCACATTTGCTTCCAGGATGGCCATAGGGTCTGGCCCCACCCTTAGAGACATAGTCCCTGGGTTATAACTTTGAAACAGTTGATATCCCCACCCCAAAACTATATATACAAATGCTGGGTATAAAAAGACGAATGCAGTCATGATATTAGAATAGACCCTGGGGTCTGACCGAAACCCTAGGTACCTAGTTTCTTAGTCACAGCTTGGAAACTGTTGAGATCCCCACTCTATAACCATAAATGCAATTGCTGAGTATAAAGAGACGAATGCAGTCATGATATTAGAATTGATCCCAGGGTCTGCCCCACCCTTGCAGACTTAACCCTTGGGTCATATTTTTGAAAAAGTTGAGATCCCCACCCCAAAACTATAAATACAAATGCCAGGAAAAAAGAAACGAATGCAGTCATGATATTAGAATTGATCCTGGGGTCTGGCCAAAACCCTGGGGACCTAGTTTCTGAGTCACAGCTTGGAAACAGTTGAGATCCCCACCCCATAACCATGCATTAAATTGCTGAAAAATCTAATACAGATATGCTACAAGGATTGGCCTTGGGGTCTGGCATATTCCGTTGGATCTCATTTGGAGAATATTTTGCCATAATTGCTTAGATATCCAGGTGAGCAATACAGGCCCTCTGTTAAATGCCCTACCATGGTTTGTCCTTGTAAATCTGTAGGTCAATACAAATCTGATCTGGCAGCCAAAGTCTCAGGTGAACACAACATCTGAACTTCTTGTCCGATTTCAAAACAGGTAAGCAATACATGCCTGATGGACCTGTTGTCTGTATGTCACTCAGTGTAAGGTTAGCAGTGCGTGTCTGATGGGCCCGTTGTCTGTATGTCCCTCAGTGTAAGGTTAGCAGTGACTGTCTTATGGGCCTGTTTTCTGTATGACACTCAGTGTCAGGTTAGCAGTGACTGTCTGATGGGCCTGTTGTCTGTATGACACTCAGTGTAAGGTTAACAGTGCCTGTCTGATGGGCCTGTTGTCTGTATGCCACTCAGTGTAAGGTTAGCAGTGCCTGTCTGATAGGCCTGTTGTCTGTATGACACTCAGTGTAAGGTTAGTAGTGCCTCTCTGATGGGCCTGTTGTCTGTATGACACTCAGTGTAAGGTAAGCAGTGCGTGTCTGATGGGCCTGTTGTCTGTATGACACTCAGTGTCAAGTAAGTAGTGACTGTCTGATGGGCCTGTTGTCTGTATGACACTCAGTGTAAGGTTAGCAGTGCCTGTCTGATGGGCGTGTTGTCTGTATGACACTCAGTGTCAAGTAAGTAGTGACTGGCTGATGGGCCTGTTGTCTGTATGCCACTCAGTGTAAGGTTAGCAGTGACTGTCTGATGGGCCTGTTGCTTGTATGACACTCAGTGTAAGGTTAGTAGTGCCTGTCTGACGGGCCTGTTTTCTGTATGACACTCAGTGTCAGGTTAGTAGGGCCTGTCTGATGGGCCTGTTGTCTGTATGTCACTCAGTGTCAGGTTAGTAGTGACTGTCTGATGGGCCTGTTGTTTGTATGACACTCAGTGTAAGGTTAGCAGTGCCTGTCTGATGGGCCTGTTGTCTGTATGACACTCAGTGTAAGGTTAGTAGTGCCTGTCTGATGGGCCTGTTGTCTGTATGACACTCAGTGTCAGGTTAG